AAGAAATCCCTCGAGCTCACTGCATCTGGCGATGACCCTCATGAGCTCATCGTCCTTCTGCCCCAACTCGTCTCTAAGGGACTGGAAATCACCACCCGCACTAAATCGGGTATGCATCACATGGTACTTGTCACGATATTAATGATACTTCAAAACCATCTTCTTGAAAACTGCCTTCCGCTTCTCGTCTCAACGGGTGCTCCCGATCTCCAAAATAAGAGTCTAAAGAGAAAAAGAGCCAAAAAAAGTCAGTAAGAATAAAAAGGAGAAAACACAAGGAACAAGAACGAGGATACCAACTTACTAGCAAAGCCATTCCAGATACGCTCAATGAAAAATCGGCGTCCTTAAACGATTGTAGAGTCCTGTTCTCGATGCCAGAGCAAAGAGGGACCAAAGAGGGGACTACGCTCTCTGTGTTGGTCAACAGGTTGCAATCCAGAGGGATGACTATCAAATAAGATCCATTTGTTCTCACCTCGATCCGAGTAAGCCCCTCATCAAACATCCTCTCCTCTTCGGGGTCGACGTCGGAACCGGATTCATCATAATCTATGGCCACACCTTTCTTCTTCTCTTCAGTAGAAGAAGGAACACCAACTCGCTCTGACGTTGATGGTTCGCTCCCCGGAATGACCTCGATCGTTTTTGTCCGCCCCTCTCCTTCCACGGCGATCTCTGATAAAGAAGCAACTACCACATTTGAAGGGAACACAGTCTCTCCATCCAAAATCGTGCCGCACTCAGGCACAACCGTGGCCAGCCTGGGATCAGCCCCTGTGGTCCCTTCGTTCTCGGTCACTTCGCCGTCAACCTTTATTCTCCTTCTTTTTAGCGGAGCCTCTTCCTCCTCACCCTGTGATGACTCATCCACTATATGAAACACTGAAGAAGCCGGAATCTTCACTAGTGGTGCAGCAGCTTGATCGCTAGGTCTGTGCGAGGACGGGGTCAGAGAAGGAACAACAGTCTGAACGTACTCGCCTACAGTCGCGGCAAGTAGAGGCCTAGTTGAGGCACCTGACTGACGAAAAGCGGGAGCAGGAGCCCTCACCCTCCTCGGAGCCCTCGCCCTCATCGGAGTCCTCCGACCTATCAACAAAGGAAGATGTAAAAAAAGGGGGAAAATAGAAAAGACGATATGAAGATCGAAGCAACTGAGGTCAAAGCAAGATGACTCAGCGGTCGAAGAAGGCTTACGACCGAACTTCTTATTGAGTGCGACCAGTCACGAATCCTCATCGTGTGAGGTAAAATTTGGCTCACTCAGTCGCAAATATCAGCGACCAACGAAGGAGGAGACTTCTCAGCTACATATAAAGAAAAAGAAGAGGGGAAGATCGATTAAGTCACCGAAGAGAAACAACAAATAGCCGGTTCATAAAACACTTACGAGCAAAGTTCCACTCCTTAGGAAATCTGTTGGGGTTCGACACTACGTGCTCTGTCTTGACATAGAAGAAGTTAACTCAAAAATGATGATCTGTTTTATCATCCATCTTCACCACTAGTCGTTTGGTCCCTCGATGGCGAAAGTGTATTATGGTACCCCTGTGAATACTTGGGGCGAAGCGATGAAGCAGATGACGGAGAGAGATCCGACTGTTTGCTAGCTCCACGTACTTGATAAGCATAAGGAAAAGCTTATAGATGTACATGGAGAGCTGGGCCAGACAAATGCCATAATAGCAGCAGAAGTCCTCCACCGAGGAAGGAAGAGGAAGCGTATAGCCGACGATGAACGGATACGCATAGAATGCGCTTGGTGGTAAACTTGTACCATATTGTCACCAGTCGGGATGAGGTCGATATGGTCTGGAATTCGCCACTTGGCCTTAAATTCAACAAGGGTCTCTACGTCTATCTTAAAGATAGCAGGCTCCGGATCATCTTCAGGCCGTTTCGAGAAGTCCGACCTAGCCTTTTCTGAGCATGGAATTATTTCATCTATAGTAGGAAAACTCTCATATCTGCAGCCATGGCTTCTCCTTCATCATGAGAAGGCATGCCTACCGTCAATGGAATCGAATCAGAAGCTCCCTTGAAGTTAGAAGATGCACTAGCCATTTTTGTCACACAAATAGGAAGAAGATACAAATACGAAAGAGGTGATAATGACAGAAAGTGCTAAAATAGAGAGAAAGAAAGATGCAAGAATTCTGAGGGGAAGAAGAGAAGGCATGAAAATTCAGATGCTAGGAAGTGCAAAAACCTAAATGGGGGATCACCATCCCTACATTGGCACGCTTATCTAAAAACCAAGCGCTGCCACATTGATTTCGAAACAGAAGGGGCACGGGAAACGATGTAACGCATCTGGAACATGCGCCATAATGATGCATGATGAAGCGACGTCATTTCAAATGACGTGACGGTCCGACGTGGCTCTCGAAGTGTCATGTCTTCACCCTATTATAAAAACGTTGCTACTCGACCGCCACGCCCAGATTTCTCAAGTTGCGAATGGCGGAGTCTGCCTACCGAGCTCGTCCAAAAAATAACCTCGGCAGGCGGAGGGACTAACTGTACGGGTCGAAATCTGACCAAGGGAATCTTGGTCCAAGGTAGATTACTAAAAGCCGATTAGGGTGAGGTCGTACTCGAGATAGAAGGAACCAACTGGCAAGCCGAGTAAGCTGGGTCAACGTCGGATACTCAGGTCGGCCATAATGGCTAGCTTCCCAACAAGATATTTCAGGGGAATATTCCATTGAATATTCTCTGTACTTGTACATTATGTTAGATAAGTGATAGGTCCCATATAAAGGGAAATGGAGAGAGAAGAAAGGGGTATGTAATATTCTATATGGTAAGTTCTCTTATGAGAAGTTGACTATAGAGAAAATTACAAACATTGCCTTTCCACAAAGATCCGAATTGTTTATCCCCCTCTTTCTCGCATCAGATTCGAGAAAGCTCCCTATATTTCCACGTTTGTTTGTCAACTTACATCATTGCCAGAAAGAAGAATCATTCACCTCATTTAATATTTGGTTAAATCATTCTCCTATTTAAATTTATTATCATTTAATATATTTATTGCTTGTCGTTGCTCGCCCTATCCACTCATAACAACATCATTTAATACCCACTGTATTAAATTGATTTAAAAGCAATTCTACATTATTTTATAAACCTATTTCAGATCTAGGATTTATTATGTTTAGCTAAGGTTTACTCACTACCTTCTTATTTAATTGGTTTAACAAAAAGGCTTAATATTTTTTGGTCAAATATAAGTGATTAAGTGATCTTTGGCCAATGCAAATAATTATCTTAAGATTTTGAGTTGGATGCTTATTGTTGAAAAAAAAAATATGAATATTGTTTCATCTTTTGGATTTTTTGGAACTTAGTTTGATATTTTGATAAAATGACATCTGAAAAATCTACTCCCGGTCCACAATAAGTGACTAATTTATTTTGGGCACATCCATTAAGAAAATACTAAATTCTAGATAAAAGTAGTTAGTATGACTAAACTATCCTTAATTAAATGTTGCAACATAGTTAATATGAGGAGTAAAAAGACTTTTTAGGGATACGTACATGAGGGTAATTTTGGAAAAATAAATTGAATTGTTTTTTGATTATATGAATGAACATTTATTTTGGACCAAAATAAAAAAACAAATTGGTCATTTATTGTGAACCGAACGAAGTAAAGGATAGCCAGATTGGTCCCAGGCACACCTGATAAGAATACCAATAGTTGCTTGTCCCCGAAAACATGAAAAGTAAAAAAAGTAGAGCCCACAGAAATCCAGCCAAAGAAGGAAAGAAACCAATAAATGGTGATTTTTGTATGTGATTTAATTAGGATCCCTAAGCAAACCCATGTGGGAAGCAATCATCACCTATTAAAATAAAGAAATTGATTAAAGTTGACTGGTGACAAATTGATCATTCTAGTTAGAGTATTTTATTTACAATGTGCTCGCCAAACGAAAACAGTGTATAACTTTATGGGTTTATTAATAATTAATAAAATAATAATAAATGCAATTACAATTTTGTTAGCATAAATTGTAGTATTGATATTGAGAAAAGCAAAATCTACTTTTATTTTCCAGACACCCCCAAATGATTCGTCGAATCCACACAGTTAAATCCACCATTAAATTAAAGCATATGATGGTTACTTAACCATAATGTATTCAGAGGCATCATGATAACTATAGGTTGTGTTCTAATAAAGTTATTTTTTCTGGTGAATATCAACATTATGCTCGCTGATACAGTCTAAATGTACTACTAGAGGACAAAAACATTATAGGTTGTGTTCTAAGTTGCAGTGAATGTCTCTCCTGGTGCATAGCATATTATATCAACATTATGCTTTTGATTATCAGATAGAAGCTTATACAGTCTAAACTTAATGCTAGAGGACAAAGTTCCAAATGGTACGTACAATGATGACCAATTTTTGGATCTTTAATCTTTTGAAAGATGATTTATCCATTCTTTGTATCCTATCAGCAAAAAGGTCCTTTAAGTAGGATTTGCTTACTTTTCTGGATCTCCAAAAAAAAAAGTCTTTCTGCAGAGGCGGATGGAGCCTATTTTTGATGAGTTCAATTGAATCTAGCATTTTTTACATGGAATATGGATATTTTTAAAATTCAATAGTAAGTTTTGAACCGAAAATTTCAGAAGTACAAAGAGACCAGTAATGCTGAATCTTTTAAGTTTAAATCTTGGATCCACCTCTGCTGGTGGTATGAGAGTATAGTTTGAGCATGACAATTATTTAGATTTCAGAAATAAATTAATTGATCATTTATGTTTGGTTCTAGAATATATATGCCCTTTTGCGTTTGTAGATAATTAAAAAAAAAAAAACCAAACATTTCAAGTGGGCAAACTAGAATTTTAAATAAAAACATGAGTTGGAAGTTGGACTTCCAACTGTACATGGATTAAGTTACTTACTATGTCAGGTCAGAGCCTTCGTAATAGGTCTTCCGATCATTCAATGAAGTAACTTGCAAACAATTTCATCAAATAGCAAGCCAGAATATTATATTATTGTAACAAACAGAACTCCTAGGTAACTATGTTGGAATGATGGAATATGAGATGTACAAGCTAAAGAATGACAACCAGGCTTACTAAAATCCAATCCCAGAAAAATCTTTAACTGTGAAACCAACTTTCTCAAATTTACCTTTCTCATTGTTCACTCTAAACTTTAAATAGTCAGAGCAAACGAATGGCTTGTAGATTCTTGAATTCTCTTCACCAACTACTTCATCTGGTGCCAAGATCACCTTCTCATCCTCAAAGCACCAAAAGAAAGCTAATGAAAAGCGATTTATTGGCTTCTTGAAAACGACACGGTGCTCAGAGGATCTTAGCTTGTCATTGCTCCAAGCTTGCAGCATGTCACCAATATTTACCACAAGAGTTCCTTCACATGGCAAAATATCCACCCACTGCCCATCCTTTGATCTTACTTGGAGGCCACCTAGTTCATCTTGGTACACTATTGTTATGCAGCTCATATCTGTGTGCATACCAAGACCTTCAACTTCCTTTTCTAAACTATCCGGGGGCGAGTAGTTATTTATCCTCAAGTATCCATGGCAACTACCAAATTCAGAGATATAGTACTTCATCCCAACATCTTCTCCCAAGCTCATCAATACAGTTTTCTGGACGAGTTTTGCTAACTCTGTCATTTTGCCTCCATAATCTTGCAGTATCTCACTAAGAAAGGAATACCGTTAATTTATCAGACGACAATATCAATCTTAGAGACATTAAATAAAATAAATGTTCTAAACGAGCATTATATTACCTGAATTCCGAATTCCCTTCAGCAGTAAGGGTATCTGCAGAACCCTTAGCCGAGTCAAAGAAGTCCGGTCCAGATACTTTAAGGCTTTCGAAGAAGGGAGATGCTATGAAATGAGGAGTATAAGTTTTGAGAGATGAGGAAGGACCTGCTTTTACTTTGATCTCAGAAGGGAGGTTGAAGAGGTGTTTGGAGAGGCAATGAATTTTTGTGTAAACATCACTGGATATTCCATGATTTGTAACATGAAAGAAGCCCCATTCTTTGCAGGCAGCAGCAAGAGAAGATAGAGTAGATGAGTCTAATGGTTGGGAAATGTCCAAAACAGGAAGTTTCAATGGTGTTTGGGATTCAGGAATCATTTTCTAGAAGAAGCTAAAAATGGTGCTTGGGTTAATTAATCAAACCTTTAGAAGGACATGTAGTAACCCTCATTAAAGATAATTTCAGAAAAGGAATTTCTTTCTAGTAGCTAAATTATTCATCTCATACATACATGCATATTTCAATTAACATTTGGTGGAATTCCTTCTAATTTGGGAGGGGTTTAAAAAAAAAAAAAAATTGGTGGAATATATTATGCAAGGGGACGTGACAACTGTGGCAGCCTTTTTTCAGCCTCAATTAAAAAGTATGTTCACAACTGATTGGCAATGATATAATAGATGTTCCAGTGCTTGAAGGATGACTTTGCATATCTTGTGAAAGTCAATTCAAAGTATTTATTGATAGCTTTTAAATTTTAATCTTAAAGTTTCCAGGTGTACATTACTTATACGGTCATTCAACTATCTGAAATTATCTATCAAAGTCATCTTTCTTTTATTTGTAACAACAAAGTCACTTAACTATGCCAATAGCACTCACAAGGTCACTCAACTAGATTTTTCAGATTTTTGATCGCCAAATTAACTATTTTACCCTCTAAATTATCAACTTTTATTTTCTTCTTCTTTTTTAGCTTTTTAATATAATAATTTTTCTCTTTTTAATTTATATTATGGACTTATCTTAGAATATATTTATAAATTAAAAAATTAAGATATTATTTAAGCATATACAATATTGGAATAATAAAATATTGAGTATAGTAGAAAGTTATTTAGAACAATTTGTTCGCTATAATAATTTTGATAATAAAAAAAACTCAAAAGTTTATTTACACAATTGAGAATGAAGAAAAAAAGTTTTAAAATATATATTCCATGCACATACTATAGAAAATAATTATTTAAAATAAAGATAATTTTGTAATATACGTTACATATTTTTGAATATTATGCTCAATTATATTATTATTTTGACATTATATATGCTAGAACAATATTTTTTATTTTTATTTTTATTTTTAAATAAAATATTTTTGTTGTATAGGTAAGTCTATAATGTTGTTTAAAAAGAGAGAAAAATCATAATATTGAAAAAGCAAATAAATAAATAAATAGAAGATAAAAGTTAATAATTTAGAGGGTAAAATAGGTATTTGACGATCAAAAGTTTGATAAATTTGGTTGAGTGACCTTCTGAGTGCTATAGACATAGTTAAGTGACTTTGTTATTATAAACGAAAGAAAGATGACTTTGGTAGATAATTTCAAAAAATTGAGTGACCATCTGAGTAATGAACTACTATTTGTAGCAACAAGCAAGTCATGTTTGAATTCATGATCAATCCAAAGTTCGAGTCTCCCCAAGAGCAAGGTGGGAAGTTCTTGGAGGGAAGGATGCTGGGGGTCTATTTGGAAACAGCCTCTCTATCCCAGGATAGGGGTAAGGTTTGCGTATACACTACCCTCTCCAAACCCCACTAAGTGGGATTATCCTGGGTTGTTGTTGTTGTTGCAGAGTCCTAGACCCCTAGATTTCTTACATTAGCCTTATAAGAGAGATGCACAGGGACAAACTTTACCTATCTATGTTTCACAAATGACAAAGATACTAAAGGGTTATATATCTTATACGCATGTAAACATGTAATTTCCATTCTTAGGTGCACATATCTGTTCGCTTGGAGAGTAACATGAGTAGATATTTGTCTTAGATGTTTCTAAATACTATATGTATTATATGCTACACTTTTGAACCTGAAAAAGAAAAATATCTTGATCTGTCAAGGAAAAACATGAGTTGTTAGTGTTTACAGAGCTCAGTAACTCGGAAACTAAAAATTTAAAGGTCAACACTAAGCTTCACCAATAAATATGTTTCCTCATGTCCTATTTCTTTTCTTAGGCAGCTCTAGCCACAAAAATTATACTATCAGTAATACTACTTTCTAATTGTTTTAGGTATGAAAGCATACATATAGTTAAGTTGCTATTGTTTTTGCATAAAGGGGAAGAGAGGGGATTCATAGCAAACAGCCTAGACATTCAGTGCCGATTGAAGAAATCGAAAAAGACTTGCAAACAATGTAAAATTATACAATTGAATCCAACTTCCATTTCTTGTTGCAAGGGAAACAAACCTGAGCTACAGATTCCTAGACATATATGCCTTAAATATTAGCAATGCTATTGGCAGTATACCATAGGGGCTATTAACCTATCGCTTCATTCCAGTTTGAACTGAGGGAGGCAACCCACCTCTTCTTTTACACATTTCCATGTTTCCATACCAACCTATCCAATTAAATGTCACAAGTTAGATCCATCATCCATGTATTATAACAAAGAAGAACCACTTCAATTTGGAGCAACTATTAGCAGTAATTATGGGATGAGATATATCTTGCTTTTTAAGTACCTGATTTTAATTACATTCTCAAAATAAAAGAGGGAGATAGAAGTGACCTGCGGCCATGTCGAAGCCTTGATTTTTAAGTTCTCTGTACTCTTGACACAACGCACATGTCTCACAACAACAATGGCTGCAGAAATCGGTGCAAGGGATTTCGTCCAAAAAATATTGTCCTCTTAATTTGGAACGATAGAAGCATGAGTACAAACATGAGCACCCCGTCACACACAGAACTAATAAGTAGAGTGCACCACTCACCCCACATGCTGCATAGTTTAACCAAACAGAAAAAAAGATTCATCGATCACATAGTTTTGCATATTACTGGAATAAAGAAAATATAAACATGTCTCATTTGAAACGTACAAGTTGATCCTCTGTCAACAATCTCTGCTACGCGGCCAAATGTGATACACGGACACCAGCATGTTAAGCAACCTATGTAAAACAACATACTTCAAATGAAAGGGAAACTCCAATTTCGTTTTCGTCCAGTAACAATAACAATTAAATAAAACATGAAGGACAAAGCGCGCGAGGCATTCTTAAATACTATATCAACTTACAACTGTGTACATCTTGGCAGCAGTCGAATAGACCAGTGGACCAAGGAAGTAGAGGACGAAATTCGAAATTGTTAACTTTGGGACTTTTCTTTGGAAGAACGTCTTGATTTGCGACACATTTTGGTATAATTGGAGCGGAAGGGGCTGCCAGTTGAATCTCAGTAGGCGACATTATATTGTCGATCGGAACTAGAGATGATATGGTTAAGATGAGAACATATAGTTTTGTGATGACATAAGTAGTGTGAGGGCAATTTGGCGGTTTAGAAACCGTTTCAAAACTTTAACTGCATTTCTAAACGGATCTCACTTTCATATTCTTTTTTGAAATTTGAAACAATTACCAGGAACTATATAGGTGGGTACTTTCCTAACCAATTTTTGTTTATATTCTTCTTTCTTACCTAATTTAGCCTATTTTGTATGTATAATACTTCTTTTCACCAATTAAAAGGATATCAAACTATTATGTGTTAACAACCGATTTGAGAGTGATATTCATATTTATCATCACAAATTTAAACATTGTGGGGTGAACTTATAAGTGAAAATTTGAAAACTATATTCACTACTAGAAATCAGGCGATTTCCGTCCAAAGCTTTCCGACCGAAATCGGTCCGAAATAAGAGTACTTGGTTGCAAAAGTTAACAAAAATTGCTTGACAACAAAAAAATAAAATTTTCGACCGATTTCGGTCGATAATTGGTCAAATATTTGGTCATACTTGTATATTATGTACAAAAAAACTATTTATTAAAAATTTACCAAATTTTCGACCAAATTCGGTCGGAAATTGGTCAAATATTTGGTCATACTTGTATGTAATGTACAAAAATAATTATTTATTAAAAATTTACCAAATTTCCGACAGATTTCGGTAAGAAATTGGTCAAATATTTGGGCATAGTTGTATATAATGTACAAAAACAATTATTTATTAAAAACTTACCAATTTTCCAACCAATTTCAGTCAAAAATGGTCAAATATTTGGTCATAGTTGTATATAATGTACAAAAATAATTATTTATTAAAAAATTTCAAAATTTCCGACCGAATTCGGTCGGAAAGTTTGAATTTTTTGTTTCTCGCCCAAGACAAAAATTATATATATTTAATTAACCAACTAAAATAATTATAATTCAATCTGACCGTATTCGGTCGGAAAAAAGCTTTTATACAAATTAAAATATAAATTTAATAATATTTGTGTGTATAAATAATAAAGAGGTTTTAAATACATTATATATATATAAAGAAAATAAAGTTAACGACGTAGTCAATCCTACAGCATTTATATAATATTTTGAATTTTATTCTTACAGTATGATGGACTTCCGTCGGTAATTTAAATATATAATCTTATAGATAATTATTTTGTATTTTTTATTACACAATATCAAAGGAGGCTATCGGTAAGTCCCACGATAAGTATTTACTTAATTATCTTAGTGGTTGATTAGCCTATTTATTGAAATTTACACTAAGTGGAAGTAATACATTACTTAAAAATTTATTAGAGGTAATTAGCTTAGTAATTTATAATTACACAAACTAAAAGTGAATTTGTAGTATCCTTAACTACATAGATTAATCTATACATTAATAATTACACACTAAGAAGAAGTGTATTAGTCGTTTCCGTAAGAAATATTAGTGATGGTTTGTCTTATAAATTGATAATTACTGTAAGTAGAAGTGTATTAATGGTGTCCTTAAGTAACGTTAACAATTAGTGAACTAGTTGTGTCCTTATATAAATAACGCTAGTGATTGGTTAGCCGATACATTGATAATTATACACTAAATGAAAGTATATTAATGATATTTGTGATTGTTTATCTTTAATTTGATAATTAAAGTAAGTGAAGGTTTATTAGTGGTATCGTTAAGTAATATTAGTGGTATCCTGAAGTAACGCTAGTGATTCGTTAGTCTATACATTGATAATTATACTAATTAAGTATGTATTTGTATAGTCTTAAAAACTATTACTGATTCATTAGCTTATGCATTAAGAATTACACTAAGTAGGGGTGTATTAGTAATATCAGTAAGAAATATTAGCGATTCATTAGCTTATAAATTGATAATTACATAAAGCTGATGCATGTTAGTGGTATGCTTAAGTAATATTAATGATTGATTAGCCTATCTATTTAGTAATTGCACTGATTAACTAAAAATTTATCAGTATTAGTATTAAGAACTATTACTAATTGATTAGCTAATACCTGAGAATTACACTAAGCAGAAGTGTATTAGCGATATCAGTAAGAAATGTTAGCGATTAATTTGGTTATAAATTAATAATATATATACATATATATATATATATATATATAAGGATACCACTAATACGTATTCTTGGCAGAATATAATTTTATTT